GCTTTAGCACATTGAATTAGATAGCTGCACAAATTAAGCCAAAATGTTTTGCCGCTCATTTTTTGCGTCTGCTGCTGCAGCAACAAGCGCCAAATCTTTTTTGGCGATTTGTATATTTTTGTTTATTGCCTTAACCTTGATGTGGGTTCTGTAAAAGATAGTCCCTTTAGGGGCGAGATAGGAATTAGTTCTAAATGTAAAAATATGTATATGTTTATGTTTTAGGCTTGCGAAAAAATAAGTAGCTTTAATTCATGTTATATAAACAATTTAATATAAAAATTTTAAACTTAGCGCTGGAATTTCACAGAACCGAAGTTATTTTGATCTAGAATTATATAGTTCATGAAGTCGAAACATTTCAAGAATCGATAATTTTAATAACTTCAGTTGAAATCCGGAAACCTTTCCCACAGATAAAACATTCTAAGGGTTTGAAGCATTGTAAGGACTACCTTGTTCTAGCTGTGACGTGGAAAAGTGATCAATGAGTGTGTAGCCAAGCCAAACGAGATGAGGGCTCAGCGTGTAATGGGAGCATAGCTGGGCGGGCGAATGCGGACAGACTCCACCTACTTCACACCTGACAGCCTGGCACAAGGCAAGACACACGCTCTACCAGAAGATACAGGTTACACGGCATTAGACGGGGGTACTCGCAATGCACACCAGATACATGTGCACATGCTGGAGACACGAGCGCAAAACTGCAAGCCCGCTTTTGGCAACGAGCTACGGCGTCATTGGCTGCCGCGCTGTTGGACGCCATTCAAATAGAAATAGAAACTGAAATATCATTCTCCCCTTTAAGTGGACCACGACTTGTGGGTGGGGCCGCGCGCTGAGGCGGTTGAAGTTGGGGACGGTCGCGTTGACAACTTTCACTGCCAGCGAAGCGTGAGCCAGAAATTGGCGACTCAATTTCGCTGACGATAAGCGGTCGAAAAATGGAGTGTATAAATACACACAGTAAAACTTCCATACCTTCAACTTTTCTAACTCCGAGTGAGAACATCCTTTACAAGGATTTGAAATCAGAAAACGAGGGCCTGAGGCTCTCTTAAGTTTTATTTTGATGGAAATGAAATTAAAAGTGGTTGAATAAATATATAAACGATCATGGTGGTAGCTTTGAAGAACTGGTAGCATGCCATACAAGGATGTAAAATCAGATCAGTTTTATTTCGATAAAAAAATACTTTCATAGATAAGCCATTTTTTTAAAGTAATTAAAATATAAATATGAAAAGAAAAGGAGGTTGCTTCCAACTTCCTTTACTCGGATGTGAAATTAAATTAGCGAAAAACTTCACACGAATGCCGTCAGGATCTATGGCTATATTTTCAAAAAAGTTTGACTTGAAATAATATGTATTTTTTGAAATATATCGTTTAGAAGCGAGGATCGAAAGTAATTAACAAATCTTAAAACCATTTTTGAAAAATATATTTAGTTTTCTAGCAAGAGCTGAAATTTTTAATGAGCTATTACAGTCTATCAATTTATTTTTTAGCGACTCAGTTACATTATTCATAAAAGAAGATTCACCTGAATTTTAATTTTTTCATGTTTATATAAAACGCGATGATGATCGTGACATGTCGAACGTGACTACATCTATAAAATAAGGAAAAACGAACTATTCGAGTGCCTCAACTATCACATACCCCTTACTCTGTTTACCAATTTTATAATAAAGTTCTGAGGTACTTTTTTGCGCTGCTCATAATAGCGACACAAGCGCCACCTAGCGGCGGACAGTTAAACCACTGACTATGAAAGGCATTTAAAAGTAATTTATTCATAACTTTAAAAAATAGTGCTATTTAACGATGCTTTGCAAGTATTAAAAATAAATTACATTTCAGTATACACTGAAAATTTTTTTTTTTTAATTTGATTTATGTTGTCGTAGAAAAGCTCAATTTTTCTGTTTTTTGAAATTTTATGAGAACTAGAACCATTTAGATTTTTCTTTTTGAATTCCGATAACTTGTTTGGCCGGAAAGTCGCTACCATTGGAGTATCTTTTTATTTTTTGGTTCTTTGAAGAGCTGCGCAATGAAGTCATATTTTCTTCGCTTTAAATAATTTATAAATTTAATTTGCTAAATAAAAACTTTGTGGTAAAAATTCCATGCTTCGAGTTCTTGTTACCCCGATTTTGTTTTTGTTCCAAGTTTCAACCCGTTTTCGAGAATTGGGGTGGGTGAATAACCATTCGACAGAGACGTTCTAGAAGATCGGCAGAGGGAAGAGCCAACAAAACAAAGCACGGCGAGCTCACAGATAGTGTGACGCGGAATCGAAATAAAGGCGACCTGCAACGACAGCGAACGCATAAATTGCAAATGCTGTTGCTCGGCCAATGAAGCGCAATAATTCACAAATAGCAACGCAACGCAACGGCGGCAGTGCCGTACTCGTATGTATGTACATTGTAGATACTTCGACTGCATTTGACACGAAGTGCAATCGCTGGAGAACGCAGACCACTGCGTCTGCGTCTCCGACCCTGAGTGCAGTTGAGTTTTTCGCAGCTTTCGTTCATTCGCGGGTTCAAGGTAGTTTTGGATCTTTTCGACTCGCCGCCACTCGATAGCCGATCGATGGTCGATTTTCGATTCTCTGCAAGAAGTTTTCTTCCTGAGGCTTGTCCGAGAAATAGCGGCTTAGATCTTTTTATCCCTTAATGTGTGATCAAACTGCGATCTTTCGAGAATAACCAAATCAGAATATCGAACGGTTTTTAAAAGACACAGAATGATGTTTCGATGAACCTATTTCTTACCTGTTTCTTATTCATCAACTCTATTTTATACAATATTGTTTTTCTTTGTAGAGTAACAATACAAAGTTGTAAATAAAGTATGTAACAGTTAGAAGAAGGCTTTCCCTATAAAGTATATATATTCTTTATCTGTATTACTAGCCGAGTCTATCTACCCATGTCCGTGCCCGTTTGTCTGTCCGTATGAACCGACTAGCATACGCTAGCATCTAAAATGCTGAAATCTATATCGCTAACGCCCACTAAGCGCCCAACATCGTCCGTATAAACGGTGATATATTTTGGAAACTATTAAAGTTGGAAAGTTGAATTTAGGCGCGCAAAATAAAAATTTAACATATTTTTTAACATACCCTTGTAGTCGTTCCTATGAAAGCAATATAACATATGTACAAAGCTTTCCCTTTTTTAGAAAATAATTTAAATAATTGTTCGTTTCTTTCTATGGCAGCTGTATGACACAGTAGTCCGATTTGTATTAACTTTTATTCTTAATTCAGAAATGTTAAAAATTCTATACTATATATTTTTTTAAATTTATTTTGATAATCTGAAATATTAAAAGAGTGATATTCCGAAGGTTGAAGTGAATATGTCAAAAACTCCTAAGCTATAATTTGATAAAACTTTTAAAAAATTGTTTTTTAGTTATTCTTATGGGAGATATAAGATATAGTTATATATTATATATATACGACTTTTGGGAAGCCTAAAAACTGAGAACTTGTTTGCGTTGAAACGGACGGGCAGACAGACATGGCTAGATCGCCTCGTCTAGCGATGCTGATCAAGAATATATACACTTTATTCGGTCGGAAACGTCTCCTTTACTGCGTTGCAAACTGAAATCGTTATACTTTTTGCAAGGATATAAAGACAAAACAAATTTTATTTTATTCGGCTTGTCAATTGTTAATGTCGGACTATTAGTTAATATCTTATGAGTTCCCGCCCATATCTACCGAGAACATCGATAATGACGTCACAGCCAGAAGGTAAAAGTGAAAGGGGTAAAATGCGAAATTGTAAAGTAGATAAAAATGTAAACATCGATGTTACTTCATTTTTAGTCGAAGGTAAAATTATTTTGAAGTTGGTTAGCTAAGTAACGGATAACTGATAGTCGAGGCACTCGATTACATTGTTCTCTTTTGTTTATGTATCGCCGTGTGCTAACTTAATCGAAAGTTTAGTGAATAAATGAAATTGGGTAGCTGTAAAACGAATCTATAGAATGAAACACTACAGAAATGATTGATGCTGACTGATGATTGGGTGTTATACCGTCACTTGTAAGAACTTATAGCTGTTCCCACGCAATTAACTAGGTTTATTGAAATCACTTTTAAATGTCAATTTAGGTTTCTTAAAGTAATGCAGCGTGTAAGGGCTAGTCGTCTTTCTGAATTAATTTATTTTACTTCCTAGGTTAAAATATAGGGTTGCTTGCTCTCAGACATCTAAAATTACATTTAAATGTGATTTGTGTGGCACCCTCGATATATTTACAAAAAACCGACTGATGTTGGGACATATTGGGGAAACATTGGAACTTTACTTGTGGATCAGCCGACAGTTAACACTCGGTACTATGCGGGCAGCCGGGTATATGTGTATTTCTGGGCTAGTGTAGATGTGATACCCCGCCTGGGTCTGCAAAGTGCTTGTGTTGTGCGAGGCGTACGCTCTTCGAGACCTTGATCCCGCATTAAAAAGTTGGCACGTCGTCGTCATCGTCGTTAAACAGCAAAAATAACACAGCACAAAGATAAAACCAAACCGAAGGCAAAAACGAAAGGCAGGAGAGCCAGGGAGACAGGGGGGCAGGCGGTTCGAGACAGACCGGCAAGGCATGACAACAAAGGAGGGACGACCGGCGGTCGCCAGGCGGTATACCCAGTAACTGGGGGAGTTTGTTCGGGGGGAGGGACTCGCCTGGCTGGCATGCGGTGTCCATTTATGCGCCACTCCTCCCAATCAGCCGCTGATGATCTTCATTGTTTTTAATTTGCCAGGCCTTTCTGCTAATGTCTCCGGCCTTTCCACTTTTTGTGGGCTGGCTGTTGGGAGTTGGATGCGTTTTGCATGCCAACCACATAGTATAGGTAGTGCTGTAGTCGATTTCTAATGGTAGTGAGGAGGGAATATGCACTTTATTGAATAAATCTTCTCGGTTTCCCCTCCAATAATTATCTCCTTTCTTTTCAGTTGAACCAAAGGAATATCGCATCAATTACAACTTGGAAACCCATTTTAAACAAACAGAGGCAAAAGATAAAATATCATTTCAAATAAAAAAGCTAGAGTAACGACTTCCGGAAAACGGAAGGTCCAACTACAAAAACAAGTTTATAAACCAAAATAAATAAATGAGACACTTAAGAAGAAAGGAATTTAAAATTTGATCAACATGAAGAGAAACAAATAACCGGCAAAAACCACAGCGGCGATAAGCCCAGCACAGCTAAGAAAGCCAAGAAAACCCGCAAAAATGTGCGTCAGAAGTCAATAAAGAGGAGACTTCGAAATAAACGACAGCGACGTGAGAGCCACAGGCAAAGTCAACTGTATCTCCAAGAAAACAACAGCCCCTACCTAAAGCAACCAACTAAGCCGAGGACCAGCAGCAATGGCCATCAATTTTTCGGCCTCCTTTGCGGCCTGCATAGCAGCCGGACTGAAGGTGCCGCGCCAGATTATGTACTGCATCACGCAGGACACCGGCCAGCCGTACGTGCTCTACAAGGACTCGCAGGACGCGGACCGCAACCCCGGCGCCCTAGGCGCCAGTCCCGCCCAGTGGGGCAGCGACATGTACCCCAACATCCAGCAGCAGGCGCAGCAGCACCTGACCGCCCAGCAGCAGCAACAGCAGCAGCAGAACGCGGCGCAGGCGGCCGCTCAGGCGGCAGCTGTGGCGGCGGCGGCGGGACAGCCGCAGAGTCCTCCGGGCGGAGGGCAGGAGGCGCGGGACAACGGCAGCGGCGACGGCCGCCAGCAGCAGGTGTCGCCCTCCTCGAGTCCGTATCCCTCGGTCCAGCAGCAACAGCAGCAGCAGCAGCAGCAGCGGGCAAACGGGGCAGGCGACGAGGACCCCATGAACCAGGTATGCAGGAGGCACTCTTGACCCTTGACCAAGCCGTCGACTAACTCATGCCCTTTGTTTCAGCTCGCCAACCAGCAGAACTCTGCGCCCAACCAAAACCAAAGCAGCGCCGACCCCCAGCACACGGGCTCCAATGCGGGCGAGCCGGGCAACCCGCACGTCCAGCAGAACGGCGGACCCCAAACCGATCCCGGCAACGGTTTCCAGACCCCTGACTACTACGCCCCACGGCACGCGGCGCCCCAGGGCGGAATGCTGGCGCCGCCTGGCTTCCCGCCGCTCCACTATCTGAACAAGGGCGTACTGCCCATGGAGCAGTCCGGCGGAGGAGGCGGCGGAGGCGGGGGCGGTGAGGCTTACGCGCTGCCCGATCTGCTGCCCGCTCAACAGAACGGCCAGCAGAACGCCGGAGCGGCGAACGCCAATGCCAATGAAGGCGGTGCGGGCGCCAACGGGGGCGGAGTGGGCGGTGCGGGAACGGGAGCAGGCGTGGGTTCAGTGGGCGTGACGAGCGGCGGGAGGACGGGCAACGGCCCGGGACGCCCGCACAAGAACAAGCCGCACAGCGACCTGCGGCTGTTCAAGTGCCTCACCTGCGGCAAGGACTTCAAGCAGAAGAGCACGCTGCTGCAGCACGACCGCATCCACACGGACGCGCGCCCCTTTCCGTGCTCCGAGTGCGGCAAGCGGTTCCGCCAGCAGTCGCACCTCACTCCAGCACCTGCGCATCCACGCCAACGAAAAGCCCTTCACCTGCCCGTACTGCTCGCGCAGCTTCCGGCAACGCGCCATTCTCAACCAGCACATACGCATCCATTCGGGTGAGAAGCCCTTCGCCTGCCCCGAGTGCGGCAAGCACTTTCGCCAGAAAGCCATCCTCAATCAGCATGTGCGCACCCACCAAGGCGAGCGACAGATACAGATAACTAACTTACCGATGCAGATGCAGATACAGATACAGATTCGAACAGGGGATCAGATAGGAGTAGTGCTAGTGCTAGTTCAGACCCGTGTTAGGTGCAGCCAGCTGATCGACAAGCTCGGCTCGACTCATCCCTTTTGGCAACTGATTTCCCTGCAAAATTACATTATGTCTGCGATTGAGCAATCTTTTGGCCGAATATCGAAATTGTCCCACTGTCATAACTACTGGCTCGCGGGCTTGCTGAGTACGCAGACGGAAGGCGAACCGAAAGTGAGCTCTCCAAGAATCGTTGTATGTGACTTAACCCAGGAGAGCCGGGTTCTCAACCTTCCAAGCGTCCCAGCAGGTCGGCAGTCGTAAAAAGCATTACGTCTCTAGATAAGCAGAAAGCTAGGCAGCTCTTTCGAAGATTTGTATCTCGGCTGCGCGCCAAGTTTAAGCGCTGCTAACAGTGGCCTTCTCTCGCTTGACTACTTCCATGTGACACTGCGGATCAACACGTCCCCTCCCACAGACGTCTCGCCCCACCTCATCTTTAAGAACGGGCCGCACCCCACCCTGTGGCCCTCGGACGTGCCTTTCCCGGCGAGGAGAACGACACCAAGGGCGACATCGCCGGCACGGGCGGCGGCTACCACGACGAGGACTCGCAGGGAACGCCGGACGGCAGCGGCGGCATGCACTACCCGTCGTACTTCAAGGACGGCAAAGGTGAGTACTAGCAGGCGTTGCGGTTGGAGGCGGCTACCTTCTAATCAGATCCTCACACAGGCCAAAAGATACTGCCCGAGGTGCTGCAGCACATCGGCGTGCGGCCGGCCAACATGCCGCTCTACGTGCGGTGCCCTATCTGCGACAAGGAGTTCAAGCAGAAGACGACGCTGCTGCAGCACGGCTGCATCCACATCGAGTCGCGGCCGTATCCCTGCCCGGAGTGCGGCAAGCGCTTCCGCCAGCAGTCGCACCTCACGCAGCACCTGCGCATCCACACCAACGAGAAGCCCTTCGGGTGCATGTACTGTCCGCGCTTCTTCCGCCAGCGGACCATTCTCAACCAGCACTTGCGCATCCACACCGGCGAGAAGCCCTACAAGTGCGGCCAGTGCGGCAAGGACTTCCGCCAGAAGGCCATCTTGGACCAGCACACGCGCACCCACCAGGTAGTTGTAGCCTGGCCTCAACCCGCGAGGGCCTGATTTCTCAGTCCCATCCTAGAAGTCTGTTTGTCAACCGCACGAGAAAGTTAAACAGAAGTGAATTGACCAGAGGCCAAAATCTCTTTTTTCTCTATAGATTTAGAACACTCAGCCCGAATTGAGTCTAACAAGTTCCGTAAGACTATTGTATCTTCGTGTCTGAAAATGTGGAGTCATGCAGTCGTCGAACAATAGCCCCTTATAAGAAAGTGTGTTTTTAATGAGCCATCAGAAAAAGTTGATTTCTATTAGCGATAAAGTATTTATATCCCAGATCAGGATTCCTAGCCGAGTCGATCCAGTCATCCTTTTGTAACGGGTTCTCTGTGTGCAATTCGGCAGGTCTCTAATGGTCATCCTAACTGATGTTGATGTCACTGAGAAATCGCCTCTAGTAACATAGCTTCTTCGAGTTCTAATCCATGAATTTTTCTCTCACCACGCAGGGAGATCGTCCGTTCTGCTGTCCGATGCCCAATTGCCGTCGGCGCTTTGCCACGGAAAACGAGGTGACGAAGCATATCGACAACCACATGAATCCCAACACCACCAAGGTGCGCCGCCAGCAACAGCAGCAACACCAACAGCAGCAGCAGCAACAGCAACAACAGCAGCAGCAGCAGCAGCAACAGAGCAACAACGCCGTCGCCCAGGTGGCCTCGGTGGCCAATCACCTGATGAACGACGCCAAGAGCCTGGCGGCCCAGCAGTTCCTCAACAACAACAATCCCTCGACGGTGGACAACAAGGCCAACATCCTCCCGGTGCGCAGCATAGCGTCCAACGCGGCGGCCGCCGCAGTCGTGCAGCAGTCGGTGGTGAAGAACGAGCTCTACTTCCCGCAGTGCTACGGACCGCCCTTCCAGCATCCCTTCCAGACGCAGCAGCAGCAGGCCCAGCAGCCCAGCGTGGCCCACGCCAACGGAGGACCCACGCCGCCCGTAACCGTGACGGTGGCCAACTCGGTGTCCTCCGGCGTGGTGGTGCAGCAGAACGCTTCCGCCTCCGTGGTGGCCCAGTGACATCCCACCACTGGAGCACCCGGGGCCCAACAACCGCAGCAGCAGCAGCCTCCGGCGACGCAGCAGCAACACCACGCGCCGCCGCCTCCGCCGCCCACGTCCTCTGCCCATCACATCGCAGCAGCGGCGGCCGCTGTCACCGCGGCCACGCCCTCATCCGCCCACGCCTCTCCGGTGGCGGCGCCGCAGACTGTGACGCTCTCGATAACGCTGCCGCCGCCTCCGGCCTCCCACGCGGTTCATCCGGGTCACCCTGGGCACCCGGGTCATCCGGGGGTGGCCAACGGAGCCGCCCCTCCGCCGCCACCAACCCTGTCACACGCGATTCCCATTCACCCCCACATACACTCGATATTCGGATCTCTATGATGTCATCAGTAGGAGAGACAGGAGCAGAAGGCGAGAATGCAAACTTGAGGAACACACACTATTCACGATATTTCATAGGTTCGCTTAGTTCCCTAGTATTAGACGCATACAAATTCTCCTAGTTTTTAAAACTAATCTTAAAGCCACAAAACACAGTTTTGGTGATGGAAAACGAACGAACCGAGAGCAGCTGAACAGCGAGACGCAGGCACGCAAACAGGACGAGTACTAGTCTTTTTGAAAAGGACTCTAAACTCCTTTAATACGAACCATAAACATGAAATGCAATGGTCAATGTTTCAGAGAAGCAACTGCAGAAAGAAGGAGAAGCGAGAGCCAAACACAACGTTATACGATTCCTTTTTTGATAATTTTGTTTAAGCACCCCAACAATTTTAAAGACTAAAAATACATCAAATATTTATAACACACAAACACACGAACACTCAAGAACGTGCTAAGTTCGTCATCCTTGATTTTGACACAATCGACCGAAGATATACGACCTAGGCGTAAAGTTAGGATAGCTCCGATATAGTGAGTATGGACATGTGACGTGATAGATAGGGCAGCTAGACCTTTTGTGGCGAAGGACGAAGGGCGCGGAAGGAAGAGGAAAAATGTAGTGGAGGCGGAACGCAGAAGTTGGCGCTGAGCAATTTGATTTTTAAGCAGCATCTAAGTTTTAGTTCTGTTCGTCAGATATGTTGATACATTGGAGTTTTTCTTTAATGTTATGGTTGATCTGATTACGCTGGGTAATGTCTTGGCTTAGCCAAGAGGATTGGCCGGGGCCACCAAACTCTTATTAGAATTTCTTTTTCATTTCAATTGATATGTGATTTTTAAAGTGTATAAAAGAATACTGAAATGCAATTTATTGATACGAAAAATGAATAATAAGTTATAAAACCATAGGTACTTTGAACTAGGATTCATTTGTTGTCTTCCCCTACTAATTATGTGTAACTTATGTTGAGTTTTTATTTAGTTATTAGGCATACGTTTAACCCAATTATGTCCACACAATTGCACACACACATAAGGCAGGCAAACAAATGAGCAGGAACATCAAGGTTACGTAGCAGGCAATAAAATGTGACTCTTCAGGTGCCATACAAATGAACAATAGTCAAAAGATAATAGTTGAAAAAGAACCAACCTTCCAACCCATACTCAATCTGATCCACCATTTTAAGAACCACCCGACTCTTCACCAACCACTTTCTTACCCTGCCAACTGTGTGGATATAATCGACCAATTTAGTTTTTTATCAAATTTTCCAATGTACCGTCAAAGCATTTATGATTGTTATTAATCGTTTAGTATACGTTTCCTTCATATTTATATATAAAGTACACTTATTTTATGTATAGGTATGTAAAGAAAAATCGCGAAAGAGCATAAATTAACTTTAGTTTAGTCGGTTCACCTTAAAAAGTATCTACTCATTATTTCATAAATTTAGTAATTAGTCAATTAAGTTTCTATTGGAATCAAAGCAAGTGCTCCGAATACGATTTGTTTTCACTGTTTTAAACTTAAAGATTATCAATTATGTTTGCATATATTATTTAATTATTTCAATAAAAAAATTATATGATTTATCTGATTTTAAGTTGTTATATTTCGATATAGGTTACCTTATTTATAAAGTCCGTTTCTTTTGACTCCCCAATACAGGGGGTAACTCAGACAATTTTGGCATTACACAAAACTACGACTATTTCGGCTTGGGCAGGCGTCTGGTTTTTGTGATATGAGTGTCGCTGGCAAACATTTCGGTAACAATGGCTTATTCAAAATTGTACATAGCATGTTTCGGCTTAAATTTAATGTAAATCTATCAGCAAAAGTTTTATAAATAGTTTGAAAATTGTTTTCTTTGTAAAATATTTAATAACACCTACGGTTACGGTAAATTTAGTCAAAATTTTAAAATCACTTTTTAGGCACTGAAAATTTCACATCTAAATCAAAATTGATAGCGGAACAAAACGTTTATTACAAAAATATTGCATGCTCTGGCACAAAGGCAACCAACATCCAAAAATGTATATGGTACCCAATATGGTGGCTTTTATTGGAATTAGACCAAAGGGACTTGATCGGGACTTGAATGATCAGCATGATTTGCTATAAAACACACAGTTTAACACTAAGCTGTAGCCAACCTTTAGGCCTTTTAGACAAAATTTTATTAATCCTTTCGGCTTTAAAAAATCGAATATACAAAATCGATAAACAAACGACGAACACACACATGAACCTTTTGGCTTTAAATCAAAATTATGTTTAGTTTTAGTTAAAAAATAAATGAAAATGTTTATGAAAACGATTATATCAAAGTAAATTTGGCAAATTATGCTATAATTCCAATAAAAGCAAAATTTAGACTGAATGTCGCTGTGATAAATGCAAATTAAAAACAAAACAACCTAAACGTAAAACTTTTGTACATTTTAGGCAGTAACACAAAATTTAAAGCATACACTTACTCAAAAACAAAAACATAAATTTAGGCGCAACAAAATCTAGCATAAAGACAGAGACTAAGAACAAAATTTTAAAATGCTCCAAAACCATTTTGCAGAACAACATGGGAGACTATAAATGATCCTTTGATGTTCTGTAAAATACTATATATTTCCGATTAAATTTTTTGTTTTCAGATTTAAATTTTATTTCTATTTTAAGTTCCTTACCTTATTATTTCATTGATTTCATAGTTGCTAACCAAATGTCATAGGAAAGATTAGTTTAATGAAAGCTGCAAAATGGAGTAGAACAGCTGCTTCAGCGAAATCTTGCTCTTGGAATTCTTCTAAGGTGCATCAGTAGGTGAAGACCAAAAACATACCAGCCGTGACAAATATAGAAACTGCATTCATACTCATGAATGTAGTCGATGAAATAATCGTTCGATGAACATGGGACATCGAGATGATAGCCAACATTGAGTTGTAAAGAGGCTGCAACATGACAGACCGAACAGACCAGACAGAAACCGAAACGAATCAATATGAAACCTTGACAAACAGTCGAAGGGGATAAATAGCTGCAGATACATACCGCAGAGACAAAAACTGCTGAGGAAGAAATAGAAGAACACAAACAAAGTTACAAGCATACCTAACAAAAACAATAGCCCAATTTAAATAACCAAGAGTACAAATACAAGTAATTTTTATAGCAGAAATTTTAATTGCAGTATCAAAGAGCCATAATAAGTAAACATAAGTAACATGTAACCATAAAGCAAACCCAAAAACACAAACACAACGTAAGCAGAGGCATGGACATATTTTAACTTGACACATCAAAATCGACAAAAAATCAAACATGAGAAAAGTGAACAAATCTGGAATCTGCGTTTCGACGAGAAATCATGACACCCTGAAAATCAAAATGGAAAAAAGAAATAAAGCAAAATCCTTTCTTCTTAAAATCGACTAAACTAAAATTATAATACAAATAAATACAACTGATAATAAATAGAAAGAGTTAAAATATCATAATAATTTTTGAGAATATTTCAAAAATGACTACATTTCCGGCTATAATTTCAGACTCAGAATAAAGTTCACCCAAAGAAAAGCAAAATTAATAGAAAATGCCTACAACAACAAACAAACAATGAAGCAAACTCGAAAAAGAAAAGATTAGGGATGGAGGCACTACACTGTGGAAAACCCAACTCTCCATCTCATAATTTCCAGAAGCGAATGCATTATAATTGAGTACAGCCGCTTTCTGCAATAGTGATAATAGTTTTTAAGTCAACCACCAAGCATTAAAGCAACCAGCAAACCAAATATAACTCAAGAGAATCAGCAAAGAAAAGAGAATATTTAAAGAAATAGATAAATACACATTGAAATAGCAACGGTAAGCATTAATTTAAAAAAAAAACTGAGGAATAATTTTTCGTAACACAAATGGAAAGTCATACCTATAAAAAAACAGAAGCCAATTGAACAGCTGTTTGATTTGATTAGAAATTGTGGGTACACACAGTTTGATGGATTTAATTCGAGCTCCAAAGATATTTTTGTTTAATTACCAAGTATCCGAAAGGGAAGCGATTACCAAAGAATGAAATGGATTAAAGTCACTTAAAATAAAATAAAGTAAAAGAAATTCAAAAGCAAATGATGAAATGAAAGTAAAACAATTGCAAAAACAAAGAAAAATAGCATATAGCATATGAAAAACCCTAAACTCTTATATTATATGTATGGTGTATTATATTTTTTAACCTATTTAAGGCATACTCTCTATATATACGATATATCTACTTATATTTGACGTAACCTTAAAAAGTTTGTGACAGCAGCCAGCTGCGTGAATAGGAGGAATTACAGACTTTTAATTGTATTGAACGCTGGTTTAAAACTGTTCCGAGATTGCAAAAATTAGACCATAGCCTGTTTTTACTTTAAAGGAGTCGAAAATGTGAAGTGAAATGAAGAAATCCAAAACAACAATAGCCTCGTTAGTTGTTAATTAAGCCAATATGGCGATATTGATAAAACTCTATATTCAAATTATTGCAAAAATCTGGACGAGTATTGCATAGATACAGCATTGGGACCAATATTTTACTGTTTCTTTGTTCTGCTTCAAAAGCAAACCGTTCCTTGTAAGTGGTTAAATATCAGTTCTTTACAGTTAGGACAATCCACCAGAAGTAATTTAAACCATAAGCCTAAGTATTATTTTTAAAATCGAATTCATTACAAAATGTTTGAGTTCAGTACGGATGCGTGCAAAAATTGATATACGTATGTTTTAAGCTCCAGGATTTTCAAGTTCAAATTCAGTCTAAGGTCCCAGTGTCATACTATGCTATGTTCACAATTTGCAATAGACACAATGTGCCCATAGAACAAGTAATTTCTAACAGAAAGAAATCAATTAATTTATTTATATTATATACGAATTGTTGTTTTTGCAACAGGAACAAACCACAAACCAAATGAAATAGTACCGTAAATAT